CTGGCACATCATCAATGCCAATTAGTTTGGCCTTGTATTTTACGCCATCGCCTTTGAACCTAGCCAAAAGATATTCATCTGTCTTTTCAGAGCCTGAGAAAAGAAATACAAGATAAAGCTTATATTTAAATACAAGTCTTTGGCTCAGCACCCATAGCACAGTGGCTATGGTACCAGCCACATACACAGAAACATACACCAAGGGTAGCAGTTTCAAACCCGGCCCAGGCCAGATAAAACAACAACGACAACTGTAACAAAAAGTAGCCAGGTGTTGTGCCAGGTGCCTGTAGTCCCAGCTACTTGGGAGGCTGAGGCAAGAAAATCTCTTGGGCCCCAAAAGTTGGAGGATGCTATGAGCTGTGATGCCACAGCACTCTACTGAGGGCAACATAGTGAGACTCTGTCTCAAAAAATAAATAAATAAGAAAACAAATACAAGTCTTAGTTATAACCAAATATGCTCCAGAATCTCTAAGAGTTAAGTAGTATAAATCCTGATTATACTACAACTGATTATATATTCAATATCTAGTCTGCCTGATTTTTACTTCCTTTGAAACTAAATTATGCTCCACAATACTGTGTATGGAGTTGGGATGGGTAGAAAATAAACTCTTAGAAGTGCAAAATTGAAAGAATTATGGAAAACTTACAGGAATATGTGAGGTGGGAGGTGGGAACATTCTTCATCATAGTTTTTTTTAAAGGTTTTGAAAGAATGTAAAAAGGATAAATAGATATACTCTGGTGAAAGAAAAATAAGCCACCACACAATTTACTGACATTTTGAACTATCAATAAGGCAGAAGGGAAGTATGAGTATATTCCCTTGGAAAATCCTGAAGATAGTATTATTCCATCTTTATTATAACTAGCTTTGCTTCTCCTGAGGCCTTTGCCGTCCGCTACCCAGAGCTAAAGCATAGGTGTGAAAGACAAGTAAGTCAGGGCATATTCCCAAACCATGGGTCACTAAGGACTATGAGGCTTTCTTCCAGTGGTACTTCAGCCAAAAGAAGAGGGTCTCATAATGAAAGATCTTGATCTTTAAAAAATAGTGACCTCAGTAAAGCATAATGCTAAACCCATTGCTAAAAGATAACCACATAACAATCCATGGTTGCATTACTAACTGAACAACCTGCTCTGAATGTTTCCCAGCAGGACCTAAGTTGGTGCAGTCACAGCCTCAGAGCTATTTGTCTTATCACATGTGGGGGAACCAATGTCTTCTGCCAAAGCACAACTTTCCTGTTTACGACTTGACACTAAGCTGAAGAGGAAGCAAGGCAGGAGCTAGCTTTCACTTTATCCTGAATCCTGCCTTCTTCCAGAGGTAACCATCTCTATCTCCCTTCATTGACCTGACGAGGACTTCTCCATACCTTTCTTCTTTTCCTTCTTCGATGGTGCCTTTGGTGCGGCCTGTTGGTCAGGCTGACCATTGGTTGCACTTGTTTCTACTTCGTTAGACATGGCAAGAAGGCAGGCAGCAAATCCCAGCACCAGCTGACACTTAGAGACAAAGGCGATTCCCAATGGAGAAGTCTCAAATAAACATAACCTACCCCAGACACCTGTAGGCAGAGTTTAAAGGCATAATGACATTAGAACACAGCAAACCCAGACTTTATGCCAACAACTAGTGATTTTCTTTTATAGCCCTCTAGACTCATCTTGTTCTTTCTTCTCTATTAGACTGAACTCTGAAAGAAGGGGAGTGGGTAGGACTGTCTGTAGCTTCCAAAGTGGAAAAAGTATGCTTACTAGATTTTTCTTTAAGCACTTGGTATCTGGTAACATTCAATGATTATCTAACTATGCAGTTTGCATTAGAACTTTGGCATAAAAATCTAGTATCAAAGATAGAAATCAAAAACTTGCTAGGTTTCATAGCAAAGCAGAAATAAGTTGAATGCCGAGCCTGATAAGATTGCAAGCAGTGTCTGAAATTGGGCATGATCAATTTTGTTTCTTCACAAAATTGCTTAACTGTAAAAAGAGTGACAAAAGTAGAGTCATGAATTTTATCTTAGTCATATTGAAAAATACTTTAGAAAAATTCTGTATATGATCTCCACACACTCCCCTTTAAAAGACATCTACCTTTGACATCAACATTTATACCACCAGAGAAAGAATGAATTTATGGGGTGCTGATTTTATAATTCAGTGACTAGAAATACTTTTATATTATTATTTAGCATTGTCATCCCCAAAACAGTTGTGTTATGTTCTCCTACAAAGCTCCCCTACATATCACAGTAGGTAAAACAGGGAAACAAGTGATTTAACCGTGCAGAAGTGAACTCGTGTTCCAAAAGTTTCTCTTACCCCCCACCCCAAGTCAGTCTTACCCTCCCAGTCAATCTTCCTACATAGCTCTAGAGAAGCTAGAGCAAAAGGGTTACCTTTCTAAATTGACTGAGTAGCAAAGGCAAAAGAAAAGCCATTCATTGTAAGTAAACCTGTGAAGAGCACCTGTGGGCTGGCACACTGCCCCCCCAAAAAAAGCCTTCTTCATTCTGTGTCTCTACCACCCATTTATTGAGCTTTTTAATTGAAGGACCAAGCTCACTATGTGAGAATATATGCTGTTTGTTAGATATTTAAAGAATAGGAATTAAGTCTCAAGTTTTTACTCAGCTTAAATTGCACTTATCTTGCTTCCTAAATGTCAACATGTTTTCCCAGAAGTCAGTACTCAATTCCTGCCCTGATGAGTTTTTAAATAGTGTTCATAGTATTAACAGTCTCTCTATACATACACACCTACATACAACCTATATATGTTACCTGAATTGTTTCACTTGGAGATTTAGTAGTTAATTTCGCTAGAAGACACCTAACTGGCAGGCAGTCAGGAGACAGTCAGTTTACAGATGAAAAGTCTTAGCAGAAGACTCAAAGCCATAACTAACTCAGGACTTAGGCAGAGGCCAAGCACTTTACCTTGTATTAACTCTAAAAAATTTCATAGTAGCTCTGTGAGTTTAATTATACAACATTATTTTATTTTTCAGAGGGGAAGCCAAAGCACAAAGATTTTAAACTACATACCTGCTAAGTGGTAGAACTAGGTTCCTATCCGAGACTATCTGGCCCCAAGCCAGAGTTCCTCAATACTACACTGAACAGGCTTGGTGCCTGTAGCATGGTGGTTATAGCACCAGCCACATGCACCGAGGTTGGCAAGTTCAAACCCAGCCCAGGCCAGCTAAACAACAATGACAACTGAACAAAAAAATAGCTGGGTGTTGTGGCAGGCGCCTGTAGTCCTAGCTACTTGGGAGGCTGAGGCAAGAGAATCACTTAAGCCCAAGAGTTTGAGGTTGCTCTGAGTTGTAATGTCACAACACTCTACCAGGGCAACATAGTGAAACTCTGTTTCAAAAAAACAAAAAACAGAAAAAAACCACTACACTGAACAATCTCATTGAAAAGCTGCATTCTACCCACAGAGAACCTCTATTATGCACCTGCAGGGTACTCCGAAGTATTGTGTCCAAGTCCTACCCCTGAATCTTTAAATGTGACCTTACATGGGCCAGGGGTTTTCACAGTTACAATTACATTAAGGATCTTGAGATGAGATCACCCTGGATTTCAGAAGGCCCTACGTCCAATGATAGATGTTCTTTTTTCCCCCTTTTATTTCTAAATGATAGATGTTTTTAATGAAAGGCACAGGGAGATTTGAGACAACAGAGACACACAGAGAAGATGACGTGAAGACATAGGCTGATGCTGGACTGATGCATGGTCTACCCAGCAGCTAGTAGAGAGGGCGTGGATGGCTTCTCTCACAGAGCTTCCAGAAGGATCTGACCCTGCTGACATCCTTTTTTGAGATTCTTTTCTCTGGGGCTGTGAGAGTATAAATTTCTGTTGCTTTAAGCCACGCCATCTGTGGCTATTTGTTACAACAGCCCTAGGAAATTCATTTTGTGTGCCTTGATTTGTATTAGTGGTTCCCACATTTATATCCCGGAAACACCCTAAATAAATCTACGAGGCATATCCACACTCTTCTAATTTCAGGCTAATAATTTTTATGATTTCAGAGAATTTATTTCAAATTAAGAGGATATCTGCCCATATTAACAGCATCAGGAGGTTAGATTAAGCTCTGACCTAAGGGGACACAGTGACATTAATGCTTCTGCTTCCTCCCTTTCTCCCTGGTGGGTCCCTTCCTTTATAAGTGGCTCAGATCTCACCTTAGAAATAAGAAAAACACTTCTGGCTTGGTGCCTGTGGCTCAAGGGGCTAAGACATCAGCCACATACACCTAAGGTGGTGGGATCGAGCCCAGGCCCGCCAAACAACAATGATGGCTGCAACCAAAAAATAGCCGGGTGTTGTGGCAGGCACCTGTAGTCCAGCAGGAGACTCGCTTGAGCCCAGGAGTTGGAGGTTGCTGTGAGCTGTGATGCCACGACACTCTACCCAGGGGGACAGCTTGAGGCTCTGTCTCAAAAAAAAAAAAAAAAAAAAAAAAAAAAAAAAAAAAAAAACCACTTCTTTTGACCCTGTAGTCCTCTGATTACCATTTCATGATCCTTTCAGGATTAAACATCTAAAACTGATGGCCTCCTACCCTTTGCCTTTCCCTTTCCTATCTCCTCAAAGTTTATCTATACTCTAGTTTCAAAAAGGCCACCTCAACTGCTGACAAGTCTCCTGACCAAATTCAATTACTTTACGTGTCATCCTTGTGGGGGTATCCCACTGCATAATTCAGGTACCCACAACCATTTGTGAGCGCCCCCCCCGCCCCCCGCTTCCATGACAACCTTGAAGCTTGTGTACTAAATTGGGATAATCTGGATTTTTTTAAGTGACATTTCTCTAAATATTAGAATAAAGATGGATGCTTTCCTGTTTAATCTTGGAGGCTCTCCTTTTAGTTTAGGACAAAAATATAGACCTTTTCTTTTTGTATGTCAGGCTCTATGCTTCTCCCTTCTTTGTCTTCAACCTCGTTTCCTTTTACTCTCATATACCAACCCAACTTCCTTGTTTCTTTTAAAATATTTTTTGTTTTGATTCCTTATATTCTCAAATTTTCAGAGCTCCTCCCACTGCCACCACATTCTGTCCACCCCAGTTACCTATTTGTCCCTGAAGATAGTAAGATCTCTCCCTGAAGCTGTCCCCTCCTCTCCTCAACATACACATAGCCATTGCATATTTTTTTAATTAAATCATAACTGAGTGCATTGATGCATTTATGGGTTCAGTGTACTGATCTGATATACAATGTGAAATTCTTACATTGAACTAAGTAACACATCATTCACAATTATATTCTTTTCTTAATAGTTTTGAAATGTTCCATTGCATCATGCACACTAGGTTTTCACACAAATCTACTTACTGGTCTGTTCCCCCACTGGAATATCATCTCCTGAAGGTAGGACACTCCTCAAAGCTTGGCATATTAAACCCAGATGGTCTTGAGAACTAGCTATGAATATTTTCTTTCTCGCTTATTATGTGTATAAATTTACATGTATTATGTATTTTTTTTTAGCTCTCTACCTTCTTATTCTTCTTTTCCCAAAATCCATGTTGAAATCCTATTTTTTCTTTTTTTACAGACAGGGTCTCACTCCATCCCCACCCAGGCTAGAGTGCCATGGCATCATCATAGTTCATAGCAATCTCAAAATCTTGGGGTCAAGCAATCCTCTTGCTTCAGTCTCCTAAGTATCTGAGACTACAGCCCCCACCCCCCACAAACACTCCACTGATTTTTTTCCTGCTCAGGCTGGTTTTGAACTCCTGAGTTCAAGGGATCCACCCGCCCCCACCTCCCAGAGTGCTGGGACTATAGGCGTGAGCCACCATGCCCAGCATCTCTATCTTCTCTTTTAAAGTAAGTTCTTTAGAACTTAAATGTACAATTTTGTGTTTAGACAGCAGATTATTTACACCGGACTTTGGCTGACTGCTAGGGGTAGTTAATATAGCCCAAAGATAGTTTTGAAAAATGAACCAAGACCCTATTAGGTCTTGGTAGCTTTCCAATATGACAGGGTGAGAACATTCTCCTTTGAGTAACGGACAAGTGCATCTTGTTAGATGGAAACACTTGTTTAGCTGTGCGGGAAGCAGCTCAAATGCGCAGAAGGGTGTGTGTGGATGCTGGGTGGGTAACACCTGCTCTGCGCCTGCGCAGACGCTTCTGGGCGAGGCTGCGTGTCAGCTCTGCCAGTAGGGGGTGCCAGAGGGGGCTGGCGGCTCCGGGGGGACCGGCCGGTTTCCGTTTGCTCCACACGGACTTCCTCACGCTCTCAGCTCCTGTAAGTGGGGTTCTGGCAGAGTTTACTCACCCCAACAGTAAGAGTTCTCCCTAAAACAGGCACTGAATGCAGTAGAGTGGTCTCTACTTGCAGAACTATCCCCGCGGTGTCCCTCTCAGAGACGCCAGCATCAGCTGTCTCCTCAGAACCGGGCGTCGGGTCCTGGGGCCGCAGGGCTCCCGTGCCGGCCCAGCCGCACCCCGCTTCCAAGGTCTGAGTAGCAGCCCCATGGGACTCTCTCTTCCAAGCGCGTAAGCTTTGATGGTTTT